TTATACATACTCTGCATTTTTATTTATTGACATACTACATCTTCCTAGTGGAATGTAAACTCCTTGAGAGTACAGATTATTCCATTTTTATTTCAGTATTCGTAGCACCTAGCACAGTGCTTTGGTCACTGAAATTAATGCATGTTTGTTGACTTAAATTCCTAAAAGGAGGTAGCATGTATTTGGAACCTAGCCTTCCTGAAGAGAATTTAATGAAGGTACCAGTTGGTATTGAAATTACTGTCTGAAATAAAAGATTTTTAAGGCTTTGTGTTATTCCATTAGGAAATTTAATGACAGACTAAAAATAATGAACTCAGACTGATAAGAATGTTTGACATTTCAAAGAATGTGATTGTAGTAGAAAAAGGTAAAGTAGGTATATTGAGTTAGTCCATCTTTCCACATATATCTTGGGCAGACCTCTGTGTAAATATGGTGGGGGCTGAAGGGAAGGGGGGGGAAGGGGAATAACTCCATTTTGTTTCTATTATGGAGTGACCTGTCTGGTTTTTTTTTTTTTACAGAGCTTTGGACACAAAGGCCTGCTATCTCTACCAGGAGAGTCTTATTTCCAAGTATCAGGAATAAAAAAAAAAACGACCCAAAAGGTAGAGGGCAGTAGTAGCATTCCAACCTACTCAACAAATGTACTTTCTAATTTTAACTTCTGCAAATGTTTTCTATCAATTATGGTTTTGATAAAGTTAATAGAACAGTAGGTAAATCAAGGAAATGACTGAGACATAAAATATCTTGATTTGAGCAAGGAATTTTTTTAATTTTATTTTTTCTACCATATATCTCTATTTTTTCTTTATTATTATCAATTTATTTATTTTTAGTTTTCAACATTCACTTCTACAAGATTTTGAGTTCCAAATTTTCTCCCATCTCGCCCCTCCCCCCACCCCAAGATGGCGTGCATTCTGAATACCCCTTTCCCTAATCTGCCCTCCCTTCTATTTCCACCCCCCACTCTCACTTCTTTTATCCCCTTCCCCTTCTATTTTCTGGTAGGGCAGGGTAGATTTCCATACCCCATTGCCTATATATCTTATTTCCCAGTTGCATGTGATAACAATTTTTAACATTTGTTTTTAAAACTTTGGGTTCCAAATTTTCTCCCTTCCTCCCTCCCCACCCACCTTTATTGAGAAGGCAAGCAACTTGATACAGGTTATACATGTGTAGTCATGCAATGCACTTCCATAGTAGTCATGTTGTGAAAAACTAACTATATTTCCCTTCATCCTATTCCTCCCCCTGTTTATTCTATTCTGTCTTTCAATCCTGTCCCTCCCTAGAAGTGTTTACTTCTGATAACCCCTTCCCCCAATCTACCCTTCCTTCTATCATCCACATGCTCTCTTATCCCGTTTCCCCCTATTTTCCTGTAGGGTAAGATAGATTTCCATACCCAACTAAGCCTGTCTGTTATTCCCTCCTTAAGCCAAATCTGATGAAAGTAAAGTTCACTCATTCTCTCTCACCTCCCCTTTCTTCCTCTCCACTGTAAAAACTTGTCCATTTTGTGAGATAATTTACCCTTTTCTATCTCTCCCTTTCTCCTTCTCCCAGTATAATCCTCTCTCACTCCTTAATTTTTTTTGTAGATATCACTCGTTCATTCTTCAACTCACCCTGTGCCCTCTATCTATCTATATATACATATAATTTTTTTTCCCCTCCAACTACCCTAATACTGAAAGGTCTCATGAGTTACAAATATCATCTTTCCATGTAGGAACGTAAACAGTTCAATTTTAACAAGTCCTGAGCTTCTCTCCCAGCCCAGTGCAATAGACCTTTCCAAGCAACCATCCAGGTTGTCTTGGGCTGGAAATTTGTTTCACTGTTTTTGTGGGTTCCGCTGCTCTAGAATTTGCTTTTTTTTTTTTACAGGTATTTGGAGGGGTTTGGGGGAAGGCTGAAGCAAGTCACTGCTTTTTCTCTGCTATCTTGGCTCTGCCCCCTGAGCAAGGAATTTTTAAAAAGTCTTTTGTGATATCCTACTGACAAAATTTATAGCATTCTAGTACATTTAACTGGATGAGTAGTTGGTTGAATATTGATTATTGTCTTAAAGAGACCCTAGAAATAAATGTGTGCTCATTTCTATCATATCTAACATTTAACCATGTCTTGGGATAAAGGCATAGCAGGCAAGCTTGTTAAATTTCCAGATATGAAGAATCTATATTTTACATAGAAGAAATTAAGTGGTGCAGTATATGAAGTGTTAGACTTGGAGTCATGAACATTCCAGTTCAAATCCTGATTCAGATACTAGCTATGTGACCCTAGGCAAGTCACTTAAACTCACTTAACTTCTGATTCCTTTCACATTTACAAAATGGGGATGATTAACAGAAGCTAGCTCAAAAGATTAAGAGGATCAAATGAGATAACATAGATAAAGTCCTTTGCACATCTCAAAGTGCTAAATAAATGATAGTTATTATTATTATAAAAACTATATTAGTACATTTAGTAATATATTTTGACAAAATATAAGATCCATTTGTTTTAAAAATACCAAATATTTAAGTGCATAGGAATATGTAAATCAAAGAGCTAGAATTATCTATAATATAAACACTTTATTTCCTATAAGACCTGAGGTCAAGCAAGGATGTCCATTATAGTGACTATAGCTTGACATAGTTCTAGAAAAGCTAGCTATGAAAATGAAAAAAAAAAGAAAAGAAATTGAGAGATAAAAGGAAAAAAAAGATCATTTTTGCATATGATATGTTATAAGTAAAACATTTAATGAAACAATTGAAAAATTAATAATCAGTAAAGGAGGTTATAAAATAAACCCACATAAATTATAAGCCTCAATCATTAGGTACTATAATAACTAACCTTGTAACATGCAGCTTTTCTGTATATAGCAAAAACAAAAGCGAAAACGAAAAAGCAAAAAGAGATGGAAAAAAATTCAAAATAGCTTCAGAATGTATAGGTATGATGATAGGATGATAGGAATGAAAGTCCAAGTAACAAGATGCACATAGTAATTACGTAAATTACATAAATGCAACTATAAGACAGTATTGAAATAAAAGAATTATTTAAATAATTAAAGAAATATTAATTGTTAATGATTGGGCCATGTTATAGTGAAAGCATCCTCTTGTTGTTGTTCAGTTATTTCAGTCACGTCTGAATTTTCCTGACCCCATTTGGGTTTTTTTTTTGGTAAAGATACTGGTGTGGTTTGCCATTTGCTTCTTCAGCACATTTTACATATGAGGAAACTAGAGCAAACAAGGTTAAGTCACTTGTCCAGGGCCACACAGCTAGTAAGTATCTAAGGCTGGATTTGAACTCATGTTTTCCTGACTCTAGGCCTAAGGCCCTATCCACTGCATCACCTAGCTGCCCTGAAAGCACCATAATATGTAAAAAAATTTAGAGATTTCATGCCACATCAACTAAAGTATAAAAGGTTACTTTACAAAATGAGACAATATAATAACAAATTTAATATGGAGAAACAAAAGGTCAAGAATCTCCAAAGAAGTGATTAAAATAATTGGGAAGCAAAGAGGCCTAGCTGTATCATATCTCAAACTATACTACAAAGTAGTAATCATCAAGACTGTCCTATTTAAAAAAAAAAACATAACAGATATCAGGTTAAGCACATAAGACCAAGAAGCAGACAAATGAAAGGAATAGGAAAAGAGATACCTTTAACAATTATCAATAAGAGGGAGAATTTTGAGCAAACAAAGGATGGATGTGATTATAAAAGATAACATGAACAATTTTGACTACACAAAACTGAAAAGGATTTGCACAAAATCAATGCAGCTAAAATTAGAAGTGAAACATTTAACTAGGAAAGAAATTTTTGCAGTGTATTTCTCTGCAAAGGTCTGATTTCTAATTAATGTAAATATAGAAAAATAAGAGTAATTTCCCAATAGATGAATGGTCAAAGGATATGAAGAAGAGGAAATATAAGTGATCAAAAACTATACAAAAATGTTCTGAATCAATGATAATAAGAGAAATGTAAATTAAAAACATCTCTGAGATTCTACCTCACATCCATCAGATTGGCGAGAGGAGCTGTGGGAAAAAGCACACTAATTCACCGTTGGTAAATTCATGAATTGATCAAACCGTTACAGAAAGCAATCTAGAATTATGCAGAGTGATTAAAGTGATCTAGAAACTCCACTCTTAGGTGTATGCCCCGAAGAGGTCAATGACCAAAAAAAGTCCTCATATATAACAAAATATTTTTAGAAGCACTTTTTTATGTGGGAAAGACCTGGAAAAAAAGATGCTCATCAATTGGAAAATGGCTTAACCAATTGTGGTACGTTAATATATTGTATTGTATGAAACAATAAACAGAATGAATGTACAGAAGCATGGGAAGATTTATATAAACTGATTTAAAGTGAAGTAAGCAGAGCCAGGAAAATATTATACACAATAATTAACAAAATATAAATGGGAGGAGCAGCAACAAAATAATAGGAACTTAAGCCTGTAAAATTATAATGGCTGTTTGACCTCCAAAGAAGAAATATGAAAAGGTATCTTCCTCCAATTATTTCCTTCATCTATTCCATCCAGTATGGATATGGAACACTGCACATAATATCAGTCTTTTGACATGGTCCTGAGTTTTTCTGAACTTTTTTCTTTTTTATTCTTTATTGTAAAGGATGACTCTCTGGGCAAGGGAGGTGGAAAGCATACATTGGGAAATAGAGGTGGTATAAAAACAAAAGATATGAATAAAATTTATTTAAAAATTAACATGTGAGGACAGAATGACCTCTTTCAGGGATAGTGAAGATGAAATTCTTGTAGTGGGTGAAAGATTCAATTAGATTAACTATAAAGTCCCTTCCAAATTTAAGATTCTATGATTCTAAAAGAGATTTCTATCCAACATCCAGAAGATTATATTTGAAGAACTTGTGATTTGTACACTACAAAAAAAGTGATAGTTGATAAAATGATTATACTTACAGATATCTCATCACTAAAATCGATTTCATCCAAATCAAGGTATTCAGGGGCTTCCATTATTCCACTATGAACATTTTGGGTAAGTTAGAATGCTTAGGAATTCCTGTTTCAAAAGAGGAACAGACAAGAAGCAAAAAGAAAATAGTCAGCCACCAAACATCAAGAAACAAGTCCAGTCTTCACAGGAATGAAAGAACAAAGAGTCTTAATATTACGATTTCTTAAAAGCATATTTTGTTGCTTGTTAAATTTTTATGATTCTGAAGATAATCAGCAAGAAGTCATCCTTCATCTCCAGCTTTGCCCCCCATACCCAGGGCTCCCCTCACTCCTCAACTTGTGGCAGATTGGGAAATTAGGGGCTAGAGATCCACCCCAGAAAATTTGTGAAAATTATGAGAAGCAGTTCATCTTACAGGTATCTAGTGATAACTCATAGGGAGCCCAGGCAACATAAATATTATATACATATATGGATAGATATATGTGTGTATACATACATACATACATATATGTATATAGAAGATCCAATAATAATAATCCAAAAACTACACCAAATGACCCAACATGGCCCCAGAAAAGGGTTGAGAAAATAAACTTCCTTCCATTCTTTACAGGGATATGCAACAGTGGTTATATTATCAGACTTGGCTCATGTGTTCATTACTTTTTCTGAGCTATTTCTTTCCTTCTTGCTTTTGTAGAATCTCATACATTGATAAGCAGGAAAAAAGTCTCCATGAACTGGATGCATGTGCTTCCTGGGAAATGTCATTTATAGTCTCAAAAAGAAGCCTTTCAATCCCAAGAAGAATTGGGATTTATCACATATTTTGGACTGAATAGGAGAAAGTTTAGATGAGCAGCATTAACAAAAGGAGGGTACTCTGTAGGAGAAATGACTTGTAAGTGTTCAGTAACTTTTTCTTACCCTGTATCTTCTTATCTTGTACCTAAGAAAATCCAGGAGAAAGTGAACAAACTATGTCAATTTCTTTCTCTTCTCTTTGTTTCTCTCTATTTGTTTTATTGCCAAATGCAAGTGGCTAAACTTACTTATTGCTATGTGTTTCTCTGCCCCTTTAAATTTATTTAATTCACTCAATCAGTAAACATTTATTAAGCACCTACTCCATACCAGGCACTGTGTTAAGAGCTGGGCCCAATTTACTTGTTTGCACTTTAATTATGGCTCTCACAGATAAATATCATATAACGTCAATTGTGTTTGAGTAAGAGTCTTTGCTGCAAACAGTATGTCTGTCAGTGGCTTATTTGACAACAAAGAATTTAACTAGCCTGGGCTAAATGAAAATAAGCATATTTGTAGCAGCAGGTTCTCTTGGAATAGAGGTGAGTGAGGTGAGGCAAGGTCTTCATCCTCCCACAACTAGAGAAGGGAGTAGGGGATTGTGATCAGAGGGAACATACAATCTGTTCTGCTATAGCCTGTGTTTGGAAAGTGTGAATTTGTTCCAAAGGGATTGATATATTTGGGAACATTTTGAGCATAATGCAAATTTCAAGTTTGCTTCTGAGAGGTTTCTTCCACAAGAAAAAGTGAGAATGTAGAAAACTGTACCACTTTCCAGTAACTCAAACTACAACCCTTCTGACCCCACTTCCACAAGCAAACTTCAGGTCTTTGTCAAGGTAAAGTGTTGCATATACTGCATATCTTCTGGTGCAGTGGGAACTGTAGGCAGAGAAAGATTGGTCTGCACCACCCCGACCCCTGCCCCCTTTCACTGTGGCCTCTAGTCTCATGGAATTGCGGTCTGACCAACTTGCTCATGCAGTCTGAGGCAGCAGATGAGGCCACTATTTACATAGTATTTATGTATTTCTTAGCCATTTAACATGTATAGAATTGGCTATCATTTTTAATAGGTTCTTATCTTTTTTTATATGGGTCACTGATGAAATTTTTGAGCATCATGCCCCTAACTCCATTTTCCCCATAAATTCTGTAGTTTTTATTGTGAGATTTTGCACAAAGTGAGGTGCTTTGTGCTAATGCATTTAACATGTTTTATCAGAACTGACTGTGATGCTCCAAACCCAGCCCTGGTCAGAGGCAGTTATGATATTCAGCACCCAGGCCTTTTTGTTGGGATAGGAAAAGTCCTCAGCCAAACCCATCTCTCTACTGCAACAGTTGTGGGTAACATTTTTTATTGTCCTTTGTTAACAAAGGATGGCTTGTTGAGGTAGAAGAATATTAAGAAATAAAGGTCATAAAGATATCAATTATTATTTTTTTTAATTTAAAGAAAAATCTACAACTGAAAAGATACCTAAGTATCCTAAATTTTGAGTTTTATAATTTCCTTTTTTTCTAGTAGCTTTGTTGCTGAGGGCCTGATTTTGCCTGAGTGATCTGATGCAGCTAGAGTGTCTTCAATTAGTATCTCCCTTAGAGTTGCCTGAGGCTGTCTCCTAAATCTGTCAAGGTAAGATACATAATCCCCCAGTTCATTTTTCCAGCACTTATCACCATTTGCAGTAGCAATGGTACAGTGATACCTCAAGGACAAAAATATATCTTTGATGGCAGCATTCTAGTATGCGGTCATATTTGACAGAGTTGAACCTCAGTTATCTGAATGAGGCTTTCATTTCCTTTACTTGCCATTGTCATTATAAACTTGTCTCATGTACTTTAACTCTGAAAGAATTCCATGACTCCTATTCTCCTCTAAGTAAACAAGGTCAGACTTTGTTATCCAGAGGCACATTCCTTATGAACAGAAATGAATCACTCATGGTCTAAGTAGAACCATTAATATTAAGTCAGCAGTGTTAAAATAATGATTTATAAAAGTAATACTTGATATTGAGAAGATTACTTTCTGAGTGAGCTATAACTCAAAATAAAGTTTTTGCTTTCTTAAATGACCTTATATTTAAAAAAGTAAAACATCTTTTAAAAAAGATTTTAATAAAGAAATGCAAAAGATACACAAAGGCAGACTTTTTGTGAATTGTTCTTTATTTGAATCTCAAAATATATTATGGAGAAAATAATTCAATGCATTAACATGTATCATTTTCCTTTCATCCTCCCAGAACTTTTCAGTAGGAAAAAAATGTACTAATATACACACACAGTACAAACTGCTCAAAATGATTGTTATATCAACATCAATAAATTCTGAGACATCCCAGACTTTCTTCATTCTACACAGACAGCTAGTATAAAGTTCTTCCAATCTAATGTTATTTTAATAAATCTGCAGTACATACAGACTTGTCAACTATCTGATCCTATTCTCCTACTCTGGATAACACATTGATGGTGCAATTAATACCACAAAGCTAGGTGGCACTATACTGTCTTATATAGCATACTAAACCTGGTAGAAGTGAGCTTTGAATGGATAAAATCAAGACAGGAAAAAAAGGAAAAGTATCAATGGGGGAAAATAGTCTTTGCATCAAATATCTTAAGTGTATATCTTAGAAATATCCATTTCCTTTACTTGACATTCTCATTATAAACTTGTCTCATGTACTTTAATTCCATTATCTGAAAGAATTCCATGACTCTTATTCTCATCTCAATAAACAAGGTCAGACTTTGTTATCCAGAGGCATATTTAAATAGTGAAATGTCTTAGAATATGAATAAACAGTTCTCAAAATTTGATTTTCAAATTATTAATAAATTGTGAAAAACTGCTTCATTACTAATCACTAATTAAAACATTAATCAAAACAACTCTAAAGCTTCACCCCCAAGATTGGTAAAGATGACAAAAGATAAGAATAGTCAGTGTTGCAGGTGCTGTGGAAAGAAAGGCTCTATCTGCTGCTTTTGGAGCAAAAATTAGCCCAACTATTCTGGAGAAACAATCTAGAATTATGCTAAGATGACTAAGATATCTATACCTTTTGACCTACAGCTCTATAGATCAGTGTTAGGTATATAAGCAATGCAAAATGGATAGAAAGAAAGTTTCTGTATTCTGAAAACCATCCATAGTAGCATCTTTTGTCATAGCACTAACTGGAAACAAAATAGATGTCCATTGACTGGAGAATGGCAAAAAATTATGGTACATGAATATAATGAAATGTACTAAATGCTAAAAATGATAGATATGAAGTATTAGAGAAGAATCAGAAGATTTATATGAATTGGTTATGAGTGAAACAGTAAGAACCAGAAAAATAAGGTGCATGATGACTACATTAATTTAAATAGAAATTGAATACTATAATTTTAAAAGGCCAGGCTTGGAGGCAGAGAAAAATTGAGAAAATATACTTCAGCTTCCAGTTAAGATGGTGACATGAAGGTTTTAGCCAACCCAACTCCCCTGTTGAAAACTCTAGCAAATATTTAAGAAGAAGAAAAGTGATCAATACAACCAATAGGAAAATTATAATTCATCTATCCAGTCTAAGACTGCATCCAGAAGACTGGGTGCTCTGATATGGAAAACTCTTGGGAGACAGAAACAAGTTTGGGCTCTTGTAAATGGGGCCAGAAGCCAACAAGAAGTCTTAGCAAAAACATACCAAGGGGTACTGAAATCAACTTTATCCCCAGTAAATAAGGCTTACAGTCAGGGTGAACTTAAGTTGCTTATCAGAGTTGTTGTGGAGGATGGAGCCAGCCATCACTGAGAGGAGACCAAATAGCTCTGCCCTTCCATAAGGCAATTCATGAAGGCTCCTCATTCCTGTGGGAGCCACAGCAAGAGAGTAAGCCAATTTTTTTTGGGTGTCTGCCAAAAGTGTAACATTGCATAGTGCCAAGGCAGTTCATACTAGGGATCCAGAAGGCCTGAGTACAGCTAGATATTTAAATTCAGTAGGGGCTTGTGAATGTCTTAGGAAGTAATGGAACTCCAAGTTGCTGACTGATCAAAGAGAAGGAAATAGAAAAGAGTCAAGGGAAGATCTCATTTTGGGCCACCGGGAAATGGAGTTTTATAAGCCAGGGATTACAGCAAAAGGGACCTATGGGTGTCTTATTCAAATCACTTCATCCAGAACTGCGACAAGGCAGTCACATACAGACTACAATGATGTCAGGGCCTACCCCATACAAAAGTGTGGAGGGAGGTGGAGCCTAGCCCTGGCACAATGTCACAT